CCACATAGGACTGGACTACTTCGGTCCTCTAACCATATCACTCGCTAATGGAGAACAAGGAAAGTGTTTCGGCTCAATAATCACTTGCATGGTCACTCGCTTAATACATCTTCGATGTAGTGACAGACCTCTCCACAGCGGCATTCCTACAAATGCTAAGGAGATTTTTCGCAAGAAGAGGACTACCGAAAACAATAACAAGCGACAACGCATCTACTTTCCTATTGGGCGAGTCTATAATCAGAGACTGCTTCCAAGCCGAGCTCAATAACCCCATCATAGCGAAGGAATTGAGCAACAGAGGAATCGTATGGAAGCATATAACACCATTTGCCCCCTGGCAAGGAGGATTCTACGAACGACTCATCAAGTCCATCAAACAGACGCTCTATAAAACTCTTGGAGGATCTGTCGTAACGCTAGAGGAGATGTTAACAACTATCATTGAAATTGAAGCAATCATCAATACGCGTCCACTCACATATCTGGGTAACGATATGGATTCCATGGAAGTCTTACGCCCAATAGACTTTCTACAGAAGAATATTGAAATTCGATTCCCGCTGCTGAGTCTGAAGGACGAACACGACGAAGATGACTATTTACCTTCAGCAGAAATACCATCTCTAGTAACCAGACATCAAGCAATAGCCGCTCTACAAACATCTTGTAAGAACACGGAAAAGTTTTGGCAACTTTGGCAAACTCAATACCTAACCAGCCTTCGAGAAAAGCACACTCTAACCGTGGGGACGAAGAGAAGTTCGACACGAAGCCCACGAGAAGGAAATCTGGTGTTAGTGAGTGATCCAATATTGCCACGCCAAGCTTGGAAAGTTGGAGTTATTCGACAAGCTGACCACATCCAGTAGAGGAAAAATTCGAGAAGCACTGGTGAGACTACCTAGCCGAAGAACAATACGACGTCCAATAAATCTTCTAATTCCTCTTGAACTCGAAGACAGTACCACTCCAAGTGGAGATGAAGATCAGCATACAGGAAATATTGTTGAAGAGGAGAAGGATGGAGTTCAAGCGAGTACGACTACGAACCCATCTCCAAGATACAATCTTAGACCTCGCGAAAGGACAAGTTACAATGAATGCGAGAATGACCAAACGAACGACGAACAAGAAGTTCATCAATCTCAACTATGCTGCTCGCAACATCGCTTCTGCAGACTCTAGTTTTATGTATCTATGTTCTGCGTCCTTCGCAATTACGACAAGCAATCGCAATAAGTCAAGTGCGGTACCAGCAACTATAGTATACAATAACCTTTTGCATGTAACCACCATGACGTCAAAAAACACATATAATACAATGTACATGCTACAAACATGCAATATCTTTCATAGAAATTATTCAATACCATTTGAAATCAATATCCTTTTTGACAATAAGTCTATCCTGTCAATTTCGTTCAAGGAAATTCCACCTTTGCAGGACCTCGCCATCATGTCATACAGTACTCGCCAACAAGGAAACGAATATAGAGAAAGCTTCATCTTCCTTTCCACCCTGTACAGAGAAGCATTATCGGCAGACATCTTAGAAAAGGAAATGGAAGCCACGCTCAAAGAAATCAATGCGCACGTCAAGATGGCCGACACTTTGGATTCTCAACTGATGCATCATGTGCTGACTACAACGTGCTCGAAATTCACAGGAGGAGAACTTGCACTGTCATCGGCACGCCTCTGGAAGACCGCCACATATGCAAAAGAAAGGATTCTGAACTTCACCCAAAAATACATGATGTTGGACTCCATATATCGCATATTGGTTGACAACGGGAAGATCTTGCCGAAGCGAAGAGTGGAGTGGTCGGAAAACCAGGAGCACAACGCAAGAAGAATAGCCGGTCGCGTTCAAGAACATTTAACTCGGCTGGATCGTAACATCTCCGACATTGAGCACGAACTCAATCAAGCAGAGAAAAGAATTCAGGATGAAAAGGTGGAAAACAAGGAGCAATTTGTGTCCGCGTTCAACAAGGCTGTAGGAAGACTAGAAGGAAAAATGGAAGAGATCATGTACAAGCTCAGAGCAGATATGCAAAACGAAGGGAAATCCTCACCAGCGAAAAGAAAGATTGAAGACGAAGCCGAAGAAGGACCAAGTACACGCAAGAACAGAGAACTTTCTGACGATGACTATATGGACAAGCTGATCGAAGAAAATAGAGACCATCAGGAAGACGAAAGGACAGACGATCAAGAAAGAACCACGCAATATCTGGAGCACCTGCAGAGAACCCTCGACGCTCTATATCGTGGAAGGATTCTGCTGCCCCAGAGAAAAATCGGAGAAGCTTCCAGTGTCACAACATACGTCAAATGCACCTTTTGTGGAAAATACGGAGCTCACTTTTCGGATTCCTGTCCCACCATTGCGAACGGCGAAGAACGCTTCACGTTCATTATGCAAAAAAATCTCTGCCAATTTTGCCTGAAGGACAACCACAGATCCAATGAGTGCAGAGCAGTGGAGAAAAACTGCTGGTATTGTGACAAGGTCCGTGGCACAGCTCTCGAGTTCCTAATTTATGATGACGGTGGGCACCACAGAGCCCTATGCAATATCCCCGACTCGAAGGACAAAGTCTCGGAAAGAATCAAAGAAGTAAAGGAAGAAATAAACAATATCAAGTATCAATAAACTGCGCCCGGAGTGTAGCGAAAACGCTACCTTCATACAATATGGTAAACTTTTATTCAAGTAATCAAGTCCAATTAACTTGAGTTAGTCTTCAGTTATGTTTGGCTTCCTAATTCATTGCAGAATAATGGTCAGTCATTTTCTCCGTCAAGATATTGGTCGCCTGGTCGAAAAGGCAAGATCGCGCGGGAGACCCCCCATATAAGGGCGGCGCAGAGCAGGACCGGCACTTCTTATTTCTCTGAGCTCTGGGCTCGATTCGCTGCTCTGTTCTGGTCGATCCGCTCGATTTCGGTGCTGCTACTACGGGATTAACGATTCTACCGGTGTTCTGTTTATTCGGTATTCTAATTATTCCACTAACGTGAGATTGGACAATAAACTAATTATTCGTTCCTCTTTAGAGAGCAGTAGAGTCAATAATATCAATATCAAGTCAATCTATAAAACAATACCCGCGTGGCCAGTGGATTAAGACACTGAAGGGCGAGCTTCCCCACAAATTGGTGCATCGACTTCTACAAGATCCAGGTCGGATTTTTTCTCCTTCAAATCAGAGATTGCGATCGCTTTTACATTTTCCTCTTCGCTTCAAGTCAATAATACAATATCATTACTCAATACTGCGAAGCAATATACTTCAAGTTGGTACAATATATATACAATATCGTATCAATATCTTATCAATATTGAAAA